GTGTCGTGTCAGTCGCACAGAAACAGGCTTCCTCTGTGTATGTAGGTCTACTCATGTGTGAATGCATCGCTGCCATGCCCTGGCGACCCACAACCCTGGCTTCAGAGCTGGCTTGCCTGCACAAGAACTATTAGCCCACGTGACCTCTCCTGTCTTCGGGGGACCTGCCGAGCTATTAGCAATTAAAGAGCAGAAGAAAGGAGGCTGGAAATTAATTTTCAAGCAACGGAGCTAAGAAAGCCAAAGGACAGGGTAGGTGCCCCTTCGTCCTTGCTCACCTACGGGAAACAGGAGCCCTTGTGCACTATTGCACTGGATGCTAATCAATTTTATCTTCTCTATTTTTGCCAGTCCTGATCTGTAAGGGGAGTGGGGAGGAAAGAGAATGGGGTTTTGAGGCACTGAACCAAAATATTTTGACCCTGGAAAATCTCACCCTGGATCCAAAGATTTTTTTTGGCCCATGCCACAGACAGACAGACAAGCAACTCCCCCACTGCTTTTGCAGAATTGGACCTCTGCTTAGGCAGGACCCCAGCGAAGCCACCCACCTTCCTCTCTTTGGGACAACAAATTTAGTGGTGACCCAAAAAGGAGGGGCCCGTCCTAAGCTACACGCTGCACGCAGATCCGCACCAGAAAGAGGTGCCGAGAGGCATTCATTGAGCGGAGGGTCCTTCCTGCTCTGCTTAATATTCTGGTGGCAGAAACCAGGCACATTGCTGTCAGAGTCAGGGGGAGGGGGAGGAGAGAAAGAAGGCTAATTCTGCCTCAGATCACAGAGAAGACGGCAACTCCAGGCAGCTAATAATAATAATAATCCAAAGTGAAGACTTGCTATTTAAAAAGGAAAAAAAAGGAATTTAAATTCAGGCTTAGCTTTGCCTCGGTGCCAAGCTAGTCCAGTAAGAAGAGCTTTCTCAACCCCCTTCTACTCCCCCAATTTACATTCTACTCTGCACGTGTGCGCACGCAGACACACAGAAACACACACTCCTCGCTTTCCTTTTCTTTCTTTCAATTTGTACTTTAAGAGGACATTGCACTACAAAACCGCCCCAAGGGAGCCCTGGCAGATCTGCCTCTTGCCAGCCTCCGCTCCCTCCCTCCCATCCTGCAGAGCCTGGAGGGGGGAAAGGGAGGCGAGTTGCTCTGACACGTGTTTCTAAAAACCTCAAAGGGTTCTTCGTTCTGGAGTTGGGGTGAAAACCGCAGCTTTAAGTAAAAAAACAAATCCCTGCTCATCCACCACCCGAATTCCATGCCAGGAAAAACCAGAATTCCCCGGGTGGTGAAGGGATCTCCTTGTGGCATGGATTTAGATGGCCAGTACTTTATCCGAGGGCCAAACAAATGACTTCGTTTTACTGAACTCAAGGCGAATCCCAGTTTCCAAGGAACTGGCCTGATCCGCTCTCGACACCCACACATGGTTGCGATGCCCGGAGGGTCGTCCTCGTACCCCAGGAACTGTGGAGGAACCTCCCGCTAGAGTGATGCCGCTGTGGCACCCGATCGCAACGCCTCTCCCACTCCTCACACCTCACACCCAGGGTGCTGATGTTCGTGTCGCTGTCACAGCTAATCGTTCTGCCCTTCCAGCGTCATTGCACAATCAGAGACCTGTGTTCTCCAGAGGCTGGCGCCTCGGGCAATGTTAGCTGCCAGCTCGCCCTCATCGCTCGGGGCTTCCCCATCTGTTGCATGATTTCGTTTCCTCTCTCAGGAACCGGAGGATGAAACAGGCTGGTATTTAGCGCCCCGCCCCTCTTGCCTTTGGCTCCGCCCATTCCTGGAATGGCCCCCCAAAAAAACTCTTCTGGAATTGAATTCCGGGCCCCAAGGATGGAGCAGGTTTTCCGCCTTAAGCTTCCTGGAGCCTTGAAGGCTCCCAGTGGGTCACACGTTGCTGGCCGGGAGCTCTCCCTGGTGCTGAACAGCACACCTAAGACCCAGACATGGGGAATGCTAGTGGTTGCTTTTTTGGGTTTGTCATCGCTTCCTTCCAAGGACGCCAGGAACATTTCAGAGGACATGGAGACCCTTTCTAGAAGACTTTTCCTCTGGCTCCCAACCTACTGCATTCGGCAACCATGCCATTTATAGGGGTTTACTCAGACCAGATCCAAACTGCCTTGAAACGAGCAGTGTCGGCAACCAGGTTCTCCTCCCTCCGTTTTGTCCATGAATGGGTGCGGCTGGGCTTCCCGGTTGGACCCCCCCTCCCTTGCTAACGTCATCCGGTAATTAACTATCTGCATGCACTTGGCCAGGCATTTGTCGCTCCATAAGACGCACCTTTCCATAAGATGCACCAATTTTTTAGAAGAAAATAGGAAAATATAATCTGTTTTCTTTGCTCCATAAGATGCACAGACTTTCTAGCCCCCTGTTTTGTGGGGAAAAGTGCGTCTTATGTTGCGAAAAATACGGTAACTATCTGCATGCAGACAGGCCCAGTTCCTTCCCACTTGGCTGGGAAATGTGGAAAGCCGGGAAGTTCTTTTCCTTGTTAAATCCCAGAAGCTCATTTTAGGAGCTTCTAAGTTCCTGCAGCTGCCTTGCGGTTCTAACAAATCAGTGCTCCCAACTTTGTGGCCCGTGGCCTTTTTCACTAAAGCCTCCGGAGGTTGATTCTGAGTCTTTCTTAAGAAGAAGAGTCCGTCCGGATCTGAGCAGGCTGTATTTATTCCCAGCCAGAACTTTTTTTAAAAAGTTTGTAGCACCTTAAAGATTAGCAAGTTTTACTTGGTGCATCTCTAGAGGCAAGAAGAGTCCGTCCGGATCTGAGCAGGCTCTATTTATTCCCAGCCAGAACTTTTTAAAAAAGTTCGTAACACCTTAAAGATTAGCAAGTTTTACTTGGGTGCACGCTCTTGTGTGCATCTCTAGAGGCAGGCCAGAGTCTGCAAAAATGTCTCTGAAATGAAAGTCCTTAAATCTTCGAGATGTCCCAAGGCTGTGTTTTGGGTTTAATGCAGGAGGAGGAGACAGACTTAAACCTCTTGGAGGTTCCCAGCTAGAAGACTGGCCTGCTGCTAGGATGAAGCTGTGTGTTTCCTTTCCTGAAATGCAGGCTGTTCCTGGGCTGGGGAGCGGAGGCAGAGCGGAAGGGCGCCATGCCAGACTTCTGGTGAAATGTGCGTGGGGGGGGCAGCAGGATGATGGCATATGGGGGAAAGGAGATTGGAGGGCTGGAAAGAGAGAACATTTCGCCCTCTTTCCTGGCTTTCCATGTCATCCAGTTGCACAGAACAAGCAGAAGATATTTCCAGGCAGGGAGGAAGGGAGGAAAAGAAAGAAAGAAAGAAAGAAAGAAAGAAAGAAAGAGAGAGGGAGAGAGGGAGAGAGAAAGAAAGAAAGAAAGAAAGAAAGAAAGAAAGAAAGAGAAGGAAGGAAGGAAGGAAGGAAGGAAGGAAGGAAGGCAACAGCATATGCTCGCTGACTCACCCGGATCCTTCTCATCGCTGCCACGATCTCCACGCGGCTGTTGGGTCTCGGCACGTCCAAACTGCCGATATACTAAAGGAAAGCGACAAATGAAAGAGGGAGAGAGAAGGAGAGAGAGAGAGAGAGAACAATCAGGGCAGTGTTAGATAAAACTGGCCCCATTGCGAAAGCCCAGAGATGGGGCTTCCACAGACCGTTCCCAGCTCTGTGGGAACAGAGGCGTCTCCCTGTAAGTCCAGGCATGCTGATCACCTTTGTAGGATTGCGGCTGCAGTGAAGATCACAGAGTGAATGGGATTAATATTTTCTTGGGGGGGGGAGCAGAGAACTTCCCATGTGTGTGAGTTAAAGTGGTTGGCCAGCTCAACGGTCCCACGGATGTTCACGATCCGTTCGTACTCCGTCCCCTCCCAGAAACTCAATGGGACGTGGACTGGACGTTTAAGAAAAGGAGGCAGAGCAGTTTGAGAAACTCTGGGGGGCAATGCCAGCCACACACGGCCTACACCTGCAGCACCCTGTCGGGGGGTGGCGATCTCCCCACACAAGCCACTTCCAAGCCACGCAGGTGCTGAGCAATAGGGATCTGCCTGCAGATTCACCCTGCCCCCTCCCTTCCCGCCACCCCCCCTTGCTTCTTGGCGCCCGGTGGTTGTGCAGCCTCTTGCAAAGCCTGCTTCCAGCCACTCCTCCCCAGAAGGCGCAGGATTGGTGCCCAGCTCCTGCAGAAGCCAGGAAGAAAGACGCGCCATTGTTTATTTCCTTGCTTCCTCCACCAGGGACCGGCCAAGGTGGGAACAAGGACAGGCGCGCATGTCTCTGCTGAATCACACCGCGCGGCTGGTTTCAAAGGGATCAAAGCTGAAGGCCCCCCCAACAAGTGAAACCGGCCCCCAACTCCCTCATCAATTCTCCGCCTTCTGTACCAAAGCATCTCGACACAGCCTTTCCTGCCCTACTGTTGCATTGGGCAATGATTCCCATTGGCCACGCTGGATGGGAGTGATGGGCATTGTAATACAGCCCATCTTGGGGGGGGAGGTCCCTTGGGTGAGGAAGGCTGTCCTGATGACAGCAGGGCTGACCCACTGCCCTCACTTCCCCAACCCCACCGATTTGGAGTGAAGCCATAATCCCTTCCCACCGCTTTTAAACCTACGAGGACGGCGCCTACTCCAGATCACTCAAGGCAGATAAGTCACTTAACGCCCTTTAAACCGTCCACTCAGGATGATGAAACAGGGCCAGGAGGGAGATTCTCAGAGGCCAAGTGGGGATTCCAGACCTGCTCAAGCCTCAGCCAGTGTTGACACTGCCAGGGAATAGTAGCCGAGTAACCTTTCCCAGGGGGTGTGTGTGTGTCACCCTCCTTATTTATTTATTTACTTTTTACACATCGTCCCCCCCCCATGCTGTATTTTTGTCACGTTCGCCTGTTGGAAACCTGTAGGAGGTTTCTTCATTTTTATGCATGCAGATGTTGAAAGAAGGGGGTGCGTGAAACACACTCCCCCCCAAAAGACGCCCCCCCCCGTGCGCTTAAAGTCAGAAGCATCTGCGCTTCACTTTAACTTAACAATAGGGAAGAATTCCGGTATGAAAAATGAGCGGATTGCCTTTTGAAACGGGAATTACCAATGGAAACTTCAAAGCAAATGGTTAGAGATGAAAAACAGGAAGCCAACTGCAATTTGTAAAGGTAGCAGACTGTGTCCTGCCTGCCGAAGCAGGTAGAACCCAGAAGTCCTGGGTTCAAATTCTGACTCAGTGGTGAAACACACAGGGTGTGATCGTAGATCGTTCCCACTTTGATCTACCTCACTGGGATGTCATGAAGGGGGGGTGCGCGAAAGCAACGTGCGCTACCTCAAGAGCCTTGGAAGGAGACGTCGGATATAAAGGTAACAAATAGAGAAATGCTTCTTCATTTCTATCTTGGTCACAGCTCCTCAAGGACTCTGACTGGTTCCACGTTGAGGGCCCCATCTCTCCATCAGCCCCTTCCACTCGCTCGCCTGTGGACTGATTCTTGTCGCCTCTGGCGAGCAGGTGAAGGCTCAAATACAAGTCTGCCAGCCACTGGGACAGGAATTCATGAGAATCTGTGCGTGAATTCAAGGTATCTCCCACTGAAAGCCATAGAAAGTGCTTCATGGCCTGGGTCTATATACATACCCCAGGGGAATCATCCTGCTAAAACCCACAGGCTCTTGCAGCAGGCAAGAAAACTTACTGACGAAGCCCCGTCTCATCCTTTTGCAAGGAGTGCATCAGGAATAAGAAAAATACCAATGGCACACAGCCTTGCAGGGAAGGGGGTGAGGCAGAGGCCATGAAGATGTTAAGCCTTTGAAGCATCTCTCTTAAATACCAATGGCACACAGCCTTGCAGGGAGGGGGTGAGGCAGAGGCCGTGAACAGCCTTTGAAGCATCTCTCTTGACTCTTAGAGGAAATGTTTAGCCCCTCCAGAGACCTTTGTCCCCCCCACTGCTTTTCCCCTGCCCCTGACTTCCTGCCGAGATCCAGTAAAGGAAGAATGGGTCACTCAAGCTAACAACCTAAAAAAAAAACTCCTGCTTGGAATGCATCCCATTTTTCTTTCCTGCAGCATCGGGAGAACCCACACAAGGTTCCTTTGTGGTTCATCTCAGGTTGCGCTTCCTCTGCACCATTTTTTGCTCACGCACTGCTTTTTTTTTCCTTCTCAGCAGCAAGCGCGGCGCACAAATTATAATGGATCCGTTGGGATCCTTCCCATGGGAACCTTGGAGTTCACCCACGAGGCAGAAGGAAATCTGGGCTCCTTTGGCGGCCAAGCACTAAGGAACTTTGTACCGCTGCAGAAAGCCAGCAGAAGTGCATTTCCTGTCACTCAGAGAGAGCTGTGGAACTCTGAAGCTTACACTCTTCAACCCAAATGGAATATATAGGATGCCAGCAACTCACCGCTTGGGCAGATGAGAATATTCCTGGGAACATTACGGAATGTTTTCAGCCCTTTATTTACCTGAATAGTCTTCATATTTGCTAAAGTATATTTAATTAATTAATTAATTAATTAAATTTATATCCTGCCCATCTAGACACAAGTCTACTCTTGTATAGGTGCCTTAAGTACAGTTTGTTGTTGATGATGATGATACCAGGCACAGTCAATCAAAATTATAAATTATTATTAGAATGATTATTTAAAATACTTTTAACCTAGGCGGCTTACATTATTGAAAGGCAAGATTTAAAAACTAAGAATAATGCGTCGAAAGAGGCAGCTTCCATTGCGAAAAGACGATATTAAAGCTAAAAAACAAACAAACAAACCTAGAAGTAGGCAAATATTAAAAACGAATAAACTGTCCTCAAATCTGAGCAGATCTTTGCGCAGAAGGCATTTCCAAAAAGAACTAAATGCCATTCCCCATTCCGTTTCCCAATTAATTCTGCAAGAAAATGTCCAACCTCATTTAAAGTTTGAAAACCAAGGAGATTAAAGTAATAATTAAGCACGCAAAGCAGGACCCAACAGGGCAAACCGGTTCAAGGAACCAAATCTGACAAGGCGGTGTGACTTTTTTTGAAGTCTGCTCGGCCGACAGAAAACTTTCTTGGCTGCATCCCATTTGAACGGAATAAACGGCTTTTTGCCTCCTTGGCTGGGTTTTGCTCCCCCTCTCTGTAAATCACACCCCAGGCCTTGGGAGATAAACTGACCTTGACAGCTCGGCCAGGCCCCTGGCGTGGGAACAGCGAATTCAACAGTCCTCAAGGAGCACAACAACGGGGCACGGGTTCAAATTTGGCCAGCCGGGCCTTGACCTGGAGGTCAGCCATGCTTTGAACACGATCAAGCCCCCCCCCCTTTGAAAGTAGGCGCTTGGACCCCATGGAAAAACGACAGCCCAGAAGCCTTTGCTGGTTCAGACCAAGCCGCCATGAGGACCAGCGTCCTGTTTTTCGCAGGGTCCGAGTGCAGGAACACAGGTAGTCACAGGAGCTGGCATTCAGAACAACAATACCTATACAGGGAGGCTTGGCTTTGGGAGGAGAAGAACCCAGATGAAGAGGACGGAAGATCCACTCGGCCGTGCATCCTGTTTCCAAACAAACGGGCCTTCAGGGAGCTTGAAAGCAGGCCTACTGCTTATCCCAGCCAGAGGGTATACTACTCTTGTACATGGAGGCTTCGTTTTCAAAATTTTGGGGTGCTGCTCTGTTCCTCAGCACATGGCAACTCATGACCCGCACGTAATAGTGGAGGGATCAAAGCGAACCCTAAGATGCCCTCCCCGTTATGGCAAAAGAGATTTTTTTCCCCTCCACTTCTCAACCCAGGGAAAAGAGAGCCGTTGCCACCTTTCCCTCGAGATGGGGCTCTTCTGCCTTTAGCCGCCCGCTCTGATGAACAAGAGCCAAACCCCACCCACCCCCCTAAGAAGATGCGACGCCGATGGGACGAAGCTGCACCTGTGGAACTCCTGCCTTTCGCACCTTCTGAGAACAAGCCGTGTCCATGCCATGAAACGGGTGGGTGGTGGTGGTGGTGTTTTACTCTCAAGTAAACATGCCCAAGCCGGGCTAACCTGTGGAGGGTGGAAGAAGAAGGCCATGCCCTCTGCACACGCTCAGGAGCCTTCATCGCTTAGACAAGCCGACCCTCTCTGGGACTGGAAGGGAGACGGACTTCTTTGGAGGCGCCTGCGGGAACATCCCGCCGCGCCATGCACTCTGCACACGCTCAGAGGCCCCCTTCCTCCGAGCTTGCACATTTCCTACAGGGGTCCCCAACCTTGGGGCCTCCAGATGTTCTTGGACTTCAGCTCCCAGAAATCCTGGCCAGCAGAGGTGGGGGTGAAGGCTTCTGGGAGTTGTAGTCCGAGAACATCTGGAGGCCTAAGTTTGGGGGACCACTGCCCTAGAGGGCCAAGCTCCCCCCCCAACGCCTCCCTCGAGGGGGAAAGGGGCTGACTCGGGAGTAAGGAGGGGGAAAGGGAAGGGAAGGCGCCCCGTCTCACCTTGGCCTGGAAAAGGATGCCGTGCTGGAAGGCTTCCTCGTTGTGCAGCGGCCCCCGAGGGTCCCCCCCGGCCCCGGCGGCCGCGTCCTCCA